ACTCCGCTCTGGAAGTTGCAGCTAGTTCAGAATGCTGCGGCGTGGGTGTTGATGTCGTTGCCTGTGTGGGCACATATCTGCCCATTGGGATGTCCGATTTGCCTCAACTAGGGCCAGGGCCTTTTTGGCCCTGGACTGGGACTGCGCTATTTGCCGTTAGGGTGCGTTGTTTTAAATGCCAATGATTTCATTGAATCTTATGGATTTTAATTGATTATTGTAATATGTTTTAATTTGTAAATCTGCATTAATTGCATATATATGTTGGTACCCATCCTGAGCCTACAATGTGGGGAGGGCAGGATATAAGTATAATGAAATAAGCAAATAAATCATATAGAAGATGTATCAGTCCATGGTAGGCAAGCCTCTGGACTAAATGAGTGCCCCAGTGAGTAATTGTGCAGGTTGGCCTGATGCATTGGTATAGCTCAAACGATATTTGTCTAGAACTGGGGAAAGTATTTGTAGAAGTAGTTCAGGAATCTCTTGTATTTATGCCAGTTTTTTTTTTAACCAGCTATACTACTGATTAGCTGAGCTTCATAATTCTGTTTTCTATTACTGTGTTATCTTTACAAGTAAAGCAGTGCTGGATAGAAATGAGTAAAAAATGGAGCTATTCATTTTAAGGCTTGAATGTCATATTCAGTTTCCTCGGAGAATTTAAATTAGACAGTGTTCTCAAATATTAATGAGGTAATTGTTATGTTTTGGAAATAGATTTATGGCATGCATGTGTTCAATTATACGCAGTACAGGAAGCTAATAGAAGATAACTTTTTTCCTTAAACATTATGAGCTATAACTGAGCCCAAATGTTTCAGTTTGGGGGTTATTTTTTTCCTTTGTTATTTGTTCAAAATATTCAGTTATTCATGTCCTAGTGCTGGAGACAAAGCGGTATTCACAGGACCAAAGGGTCTTTTTTTTTTTTTACTGGGTGTCCAGGGAGCTATTGAAATGCCTAATCTAGTCTGTAAGGACCATCAGATAGCACTTCCTCTGTGTAAGAATTCTGCCAGTCCATATGATAGTATGTGTGTGTGGGGGGCTACATTGCAGATTTATTATAGTCTGCTTTTTGGGCAAAATTGTTTCTGTATGTGTGCATATACAAGTGTTCTTTGATGAGAGAATTTGTAGCTGTGCTGAATCTAGAGAGAGGGAGGGTTGCCTGCCTTCTCATTGTACTCTCTCTTATTGATGACAGCAGGAAGTAGCAGAACTGGGGCAAATGGGATGTGAACTGGAGGAACCCACGCTAACGTGCACATTTTGGTTTTGTGTAACCTAGTATGCACGTCTTCATTAACCTAGCCAGTTAGAAATATAGGTATTGCTGTTGTTCTATAACAATAACATAGCTTGTGAATTTCAGAGGAATATCTTTCTCTCTCCTCTGCTTTTCCCAGATAACATTGAAAAGCTATTGCACACTACTCAAAGTTACTTGGCATCTCTTTAAAAGTTTTGATACATATCAGGGGTCGTTTCATAGAAAAAGAGCTAGGGGAACTCATTAGCATAACTCATTAGCATATGCCACACCCCCTGGCATCATAAGGCCCGGCAGTGGACCTGCAAGGCCGGCGGGAGTGCGAGGAAGCCCTGCCCAGGCCCTCCCTGGCCCCAGGCAGGCAGGGGTGGGGAGAGATGGGGAGGAAGCAACTTACCCTCTCTCTTCTCCTGCCTCCTCCTGGCTGAATGAGGGCCGGAAGCGGGATGGCCGGAAGCAGGGGGTGGGGCTTCGTCATTTGCCCTGCCCCTCACCCGGGGGAACTGCGATCCCCCACGATCCCCCCGAATCGACCTCTGAGACATATAATCATGAGAGTTTAGAGAGAGAGCATAAATATTGGTCCTATTTTACTCATTTTTCTTTGAGCCATAGGCCAATAACATTATTAAGACAATTTTATTATAGGAATTCCTGAAAATATTTCTATTAGCTTTGTCCCTATTCTAGAAGCGCCATCAGTTGTTTTATAACCTGCTGATTCCTTTTGTTAATAAATAGAGAATAGAAGTATCTTTCAATACATCTGTACTGAGTACTATAAATTTGTGTTACTGTTAGAAACTGGAAGCTAGTATCAGTGCAAGTCACCTTCATTCTACTACAGAGTGGTAGAAGGCTGTTGGCACCTTTCCCAGGTCTTTGCAAATGTATCATCAGCAGATCATTAGCACCTTAGTGACCAACAAGACCAACACTTCTACCAATGCAGCTAGCCTCCTGAAATAATCTCATACAGTGCAGGCTGTGAATGTGATTATTGTTCGATTCATTGAACACATCTTACTCTTAATTACAAATTATCTCTAATGAGTTAAAATATTGGCATTTAAAACAAAAGGGAACAAAGTTTTGGGTGGTTTCTGATGCTTGTCAAAAACAAGAAATACCTATAATCTGTGGCAGTCAAACTTTTAAAAAAGCCTACAAATAAATTGAAACAACAGGGGGGACCTACAAGGACTTGCAGGAGGGCATCTCATTTCCCCCTGTATCCTCTCCCCTGCTATTTCCTCTTTCCTCTCCCTGGAAGCCCCTGTAACCTCTCCCCTTTCCTGCCACCCACCTCCCCTTTTCTTCCACTCACCAGCCAACCTATCTTTATCTGCTCTACTGTCTTCAGATTTTCTTACTTCTCTTGCAGCCTTGCAGCCTCTACTCAGGGAAACTACAGACTAGTTGTGTAGCAGTGACCACTAGGCCCAGTGTAGTAGGGAACTTGTGGGTGCTCCACAGTTTCCTGTGTATCTGCTCCCCACAGTATTTCCTCTTTCCCATCCATATCCTGACTTTTCCCTGCTTCTCTCTCCTTTCTGCCTACCAACCACCCTACCTTTTATCTGCTCCCCCATCTTTGGCTATATTGATACTTATTTACTTTCTTTATGTTCCATCTTTCTTCATAATAGGGGCCTGAAGTAACATTCTACTCTCCTCTATTTTATCCCCACAACAACCCTGTAAGGTAGGTTAGGCAGAGAATGTGTGACTTGCCCAAGATCACCGAGTGAGCTTTCATGGAAGAGTGGGGATTTGAACCTGGGTCTCCCAGGTCCTATTATGAACCTCTAACCACCACATCACACTGGTTTTTGTGAGATGGCTGCTATTGAACAGTAGCAAACAGGTTGTCCTGGGGAAGTCATACAAGATGGTCGATGGTTGTAGCAAGCCCTGGCCCTGATGAGGTCTCCCTCAAAGGCCAAAATAGCCCTAGAAAGGGCCCTGCCCCCTCTCTTTGCCTTTTACTGTCAAAAACCAAGGCTTGAACGCTGGAAGCATCATTGTGGTTGCCTAGCAACATCTACTGCATGCATTGATTTCTTAAAGCTGTGGATGCTGCTTCTATAACTTTTAGAGGGTTTTACCCCTTTCCCATTTTTTAACATTTCAGATTTTTCTGCAAACCTGGGGCTTTTTTGAAGTTCATAAAAATATCTGTCATATCTGTTCAAAGCTCCAGTCTTTGGATTTGAGTATTTACAAATACCACCATGTTCAGAATTAGATGTATTTAAAGTTGGAATAGTTCTGTATGATAATAGAATGTTTCTCTTTTAAACGTCATCGTGTGTTTTCTCATTAGACATCCAGTAAAAGAATCTGGACCTATTTTTCCCTTCATAATTCCACCCCCCCCCCCATACTTCTTATTTTCTGGCCTTTGGATGGCCAGTTTGCTAAAAATTCTGTACAGAAAACCATGGTGTTGTTTCCATATTAAGAAAAGCAGTAAGATTGACAATAGTCTGTATGGAGTTTTATTCTGCAATTGTTTTCTAATAATGGTAGCAATAATACTTAACATTTATATGGGTATTCAAAGCATATACATTATCTGGGGTAATCCTGTAACTGAATCAGAGAAGAGACAGTTTGTGAAGCAGCACAGGTCCTTGTTTTTCCAGGACACTCCCTTGAAGAGCCCATCACTTCTCCTTAACAACAAGCGTGCTTGAAAACTTCCCAGGTACTACTTAAGAAAGCAGAGGCATATTTTAGTCTTTCTTTTTTGAGTAAGCCACTGAGGTGTATGCTACTATCCTCTAAAATAACCTTCCTCCAATCCAGGGAACCTTCCTTCAGTTTAAGTGGCTCTGTCTCCAATGAATAAGTTAATTAATAAATTTTGCTCATTGGAGTGGTAGGATGGGGGTAGCATCCACCTCACTGAATCCATGAGCAGAACTTGTTGACTGAATTCTCCACAAAATGAATACTCTAGTTCCAGTCTCAGCTTGAGTATGCATGTCACATCTGTGGCAAGAATTTTCCATAGCGCTGGGGAAATGATTGCTTTAGACTTGCTTCGGTAGGTGTCATGACCACAATGGCAAGGAGACAATCTCATCCAAACCCATTCTGTACACAAAACTGGCTAGGAAGCTTCACAGATTGGAAGTTAACAGGGAATAAATGGCAGCCAGACCAATCATACATTAGTGATCTATTTTGGGGTACATTTTCCAAATATGACATAAGAGACTTGTATAATTAAGCATGTTATTGTGGGGGGGGGGAGAGAAAGCTGCATCACAGGATCATCTAGTGTGATTGGTCACTGTACTATTTTGGCTCAAAAGAGTGCTGAAAATCCCTATTCTTCTTGAAGTTCACCTTGAACAAGTTACTGTCACTCAGCCTAATCTACATCACAGGCTTGTAGTGACAATAAAAGGGGGTGGACGCCTGAGTTCTTTGAAGAGAGTGTGTGAATTGAATGCTCTGTTATGCCATAAGGCCATCACAAAATGCAGGAAATAAAGTGGGTCCCCCAGTTTCTGATTTTGCAATAAATAATGTTGAATGTTATGTGAACCTTGAACATGAGTGACATATGTACTTAAGGTCAGAATTTACAAAACTAAAATACAATTACTCCTTCTGAGCCCTACGTACCAAAACTACAACATAAGTGATGTTTGTACACAGTGAGATTGGAGTAGAATGAGTAAAATGTAATTTCTGAATTTCTTCCATTACAGCTGTAATGTCAAGAAGCCAAGAAGGACCTGGAGAGATGGGAAAGGCAGTCCTTATCCCCAAAGATGACCAGGAGAAAATGAAAGAGATGTTTAAAATTAACCAGTTTAATCTCATGGCCAGTGACTTGATTGCATTAAACAGAAGTTTACCTGATGTAAGGCTGGAGGGGTGAGTCTACAAAATTTGTCTTGGTTTTGCTGCTGTGGCTTTGAGGAACTTGTGACTTGTCACATTGAGATCCCCAGAATTTGTGAACAAATATGTACTTGGCTATTCTGTAGATTTGTATCTCTTGTCACAGTAGTGTTTTCCTTTGCAAATTAATTGGCCTTTATAAATATAAATGGTTTGCAAAATGGCTTCTCATCTAGGAGAAGAGATGAGAAATGCACTGCATACTATTGTTTTTTATTTACAATTTATGTTGACACCTCCTGATAGGGGAAGAGGAACTTAGGGTTGAATGGTCTGTGTTCAGGCTCGTGACTCAGGAGTCTGTGTGTTCTCTTCCTTGTCTAGGGTAGCTGCCAACTTGCCAATGGGTTACAGAATTCCTTCACAGAAAATGTTTAAATGCCCCAAACAGTGGTATTGTGTAAAGGCACAGTCTAAGGGTCCAGTCACACGCAGAATTAGCCACGCAATAGGGACAAATGCCGGGTGGATTTTATGGGCACGATCACACGAAAACATCTGGCAAGTGTCCCACACCCGTCAGTAACCTGTATTGCCTGGTGGAAGAAGCGGAATTAAAAGATACCAGGGAAAGTGCACTAGTTTCTGGAAAATGCGGGGCATGGGCGGGCATCAGTTCGCAGAAGCGCTGGTATCTTTTCACATCCAGTGGTATGTGCACAAACACTGAACTGCGCATGCAAACAAATGAGTACTGGTGAACCGCCTGACACTTTTTGCCACGCTTCACCATCAATGTGTGATCGCGGCTGAGGGCATGTGCTTGGAGCCTTGGGGGAAACGTCTGATTGCGATACTGCTCTTCAATGTGCTCTGGAGCAAAAAGCCACACTTTGCCCCCGGACTATCTCACTGGTGTGACCGGGACCTAGGTTAGGTAAATATAGTAGTGGTTTGGTGAGGTAGGTGAAGGGAGCAGAGATAAGTTGGGAACCAAAATACCAACATAGAATCTGAGTAGGGACTTCAGGAATTAAATGACTGAGTTATTCGAAAGCAAGAAATTACAAGTAGATAAATAGGTACCACTTCAGTGGGAAGGCAACAGCATTCCGTGTGCCTTAGTGCTTAGTCATGCCGGCCACATGACCACAGAAACGTCTTTGGACAGCGCTGGCTCTTCGGCTTTGAAACGGAGATGAGCACCACAACCCTAGAGTCAGATTCGACTGGCTTTCGAGCAAGGGAACCTTTACCTTTACCTTTTTAGTGCATGCTTAGGACATACAAGTGCTAGGCTGCCAGATTTTTAATGTGTCTTTTCTGGATGTACAGAGTCAGGTATTGGCTTCAAGGGTTAAGGTGCTCATAAACTTGTATACAGACAGTCATGGCCTAGTTAGGTTAAGAGTGTTGGATGTTTCTTAGAATGGTGGAAGTGGTAGAGTCATGCAGGAATCTTGTTGAAGTTGTAACAAGCAAGCATCTGAGGGAACCAACAGCTTGGTGGAAAAATGGGGATTTGACAATGGTAGTGAAAACGCTTGATGGATATCCATTCCTTAATTTGGTCTGTGTTTGTTCCATTTGCTTTGCTTTCAGTTGTTGACTGGAACACTTAATTGAAGCCTTTGGAGTGTGTATAATCCATATGTAAATTGCAAGAGTAAATAGGCATGTTTAGGATTAACAGGACTCAGAAAGTTTTCTAAAACACTTGTTTTTACGGTTGTAATATTCTGGTGCGATGCATGTTGGAAAAAATGAAAACACATTCAGTTTCCGGCTACTTGATCTTTCTATTCCTTTAGCAGTCCTGTTTCTTTCCTCCGCCTCTGTACGATCTGCCCGTGCATAGAATGTGTAACTCCAGTGATATGTACAGGGTTTTTTTGCACACTTTAGCTGTTATGAAGTATTGATACTGCCATAGAAGTTTTGCATCTGCAGAAAGAGATCACTTGTTTCATTAGCAGAACTTGAACAAACATTCTTTCTCAAGTAATACACATGAAGAATGGTTCTGAGGTTTGACTGGCATATGCAAACATTTTAAAATTAGCATTTAGGTAGTTATCAACCAATTCCTATAACATAATGTGTCAGAATGCATCCTAAAGCATTTCACAAACAAACCAGGTTTACATGCTTTGTTTATGTTGGGTGTTGCTACATCATCTTCAAGACAACATAGCTGTGAAGTCCTGTGAGCAAATAGATCAGCCAAGAGACAGATTTAGAGTCACATGTTGCAGTTGCAGGACCCATGGAGCTGAACAGCTTCCTAATTACTTACTGGGGAGACAAATGCCTTGATCTTAGTGCTGCTCCTCATTGCTGCTTTAAATTTTACAAGTCTGATTTTATAGCATTAGGCTTCATCACAGGGGAAGGAGAAGATGGGGGGGGGAGAAACCTGTGAGTGGTTGCCTAGTAACCACATAAATGTCCCCTGTTGCTTTTTGGTTACAAAAGGAAGCAGTAGGTGGTACATGGGTAGTAGCCTAGCAACTATTCATGTTGTTTCCCTCTCCCATCCATGATTAAGACTCATGAGTTCACCTGTCACAATGACAACTGTAGAAATTAGGGTGGCACCTGGCAGTGTGGAATGGGAGGGTTACTGTAGTTAGTGTGCCAGTTGGAAGGCTTTGAGGTGTATTTGACTTTAATGCCACTACTTCTCAAGTGTAACATTAGAATATGTTTTCCATGTCTGGTTACTGTCTCCAGTTACCATCAGTGTACAAATGTGGGTTAACTGGAGTCAATTCCCTGTCCTGAACCAGGATTCTAACCAGAGTGTAACCAAGCCCTAGAACCCAGATTTGTGCCCATCCTGGCATATTATCTGTTAAAGGCAGGGGTCATTTACTGCAGGAGCGCACAGGAGCGGAGCTCTGGCAGTAAAGAGCCCAAGGGGCGGACACATGCAACAAGCCCCACCCCCTGCTCCCAGCAGCCCTCAGTCAGAGCAAGAAGCAGCCAGGTAACTTGCAGAGCCCCTCTGGCCCCCGGGTCCAAATAGTCCAGTGGCACCTTTAAGACCAAGTTTTATTCAGGTACAAGCTCTTCCTCCTCTGCAAGGACAGATCTGTACTCCCCCCCCCCAATAGCTAGCAATCCAAAACAATCCTGTGGAGCCTGAGCGGTGGGTGTTGCCTTCTGACACACTTTGGTGATATCAGGGGGTGTGGCATATGCAAATAAGTTATGCTAATGAGTTATGCTAATGAGCTCCTGTACCTCTTTTTCCACTAAATGACCCCTGGTTAAAGGTGATATCAGAATGCAGCCTATGTTCTTCTTCTATGGAGTGGATGGAGTTTGGGGTTTAGATATGATAAATTTAGATTCAAGTCCCTGCTGAGCTCATCATCAGGTTTTGGGGTCTTGCATCCCCGATGGGCTTATTGTAAGGGCGAACTGTCTCTCTGAGTTTCTTAGAGGTATAGAGTAGGATAGAAATGTAATAAGTGTTGGATGTCAGATTATGTAACCCAAGGAAACACCATGTTCTTGTCTTTAGAAAATCATTTGTAACTGGGGCATTTGTTTGGCATGGACTGGAATTCTCATGAATAGATCCCATCTTTTCTGCCTGAGAGGTCTCATATTGCTTGACATCTTGCTGGGTCATCCATCTTATTTACCCACTGTACAGTGGATAAGATGTTGCAGAGAAATGGATAAGGATATAACTGGTATCCTGATGCCACACAGCTCTATATGGGTCTGTGTATGTCTGTTCTTGAGAAATGCACCTCTCTAGGAATACAATTATTGCTGTTTTGTAAACCAAGAAGAATAGAGTCTAGACCTGCCTTTCTCTCTTTCCTGCCATCCCCATATTCAGCTCCCTACGATGGGAATTTATCATAGCAGACAATCTGGTTCATTTTATTGACTTTCAATTTTTTTTCTGCCTGTTGATAACTGAAATTTGAGACAAAATAGAATCACACCCAATGTAAAGATTCTGTTCTTCTGTCTTACATAGTCTGCTTGTGCTGTACCAGGCAGCTGTTTGCTTTAGTTCGTTGCTCAAATTGCAGGTATATTTTATGCAAAGCATTAAACCTTGCTGTCTGTCAGATTTAGTATCTAGGAATACCTTCTGCTTTTTTAGCCTCCACCCACAGGCTGCTAGATGCCTACTTTCATGCTGAAAGCAGTCAGTTTTCAGCAAATGGAGAATTAACAGTGCAGTCTGGTGACAAATGAAGTAATCTTCTGAGTGTATTTTTCCACGGTGCACATCAAAGACATTTGAGTTTGTAAAGAACTTAATTTTGCCAGCTGGGGACGATCAGACTTCCTGAAGAACTGTAGCAGTGGAGGGCAGCCTTGTCTCTGGTGGACAAACAGGCACGTAGACTGTAATATGGTGCTCCGTATGTTGTTTTTTAGACATTCTTCTCTTTCTCTCTTATACCACGCTTACTGTTTGCATACATATGTATTGTAATATTAGTCCCCGAAGATATGACCATCAGCCATTGAAAAATCTTGATGACATAGCAGTTGAAAATTCAATTATTTTTGAGCACTTTTTGCTTACCTCTCAGGTTTTATTCCTTAACATTTTTTAATCTACAAGAATGAGGAAACGGTGAGACACTACCAAGAAGAGGGCAGAAAGATACATAAAGGTGGCAGTTCTGTGTCTCTACATGTCTAGTTCTGTCCTAAAGTCATGAGCATTACATGTGTTTTTATTTTGTTCTCATCATGATAATGAAGTCCATCCTTGAGTGGCTAGTCACGCCTGCTTTCAATGGACTCTGTCCCCCCCCCCAATGGTGCTGAAGGAGAATTTAGTAATTATGATACATAGCTCTAAATGCATCAATGTGGAAAATAAAAAAAAATTATAAAACAGGTGTGCCGTGTTACGTAGAGCACACCTGTACTCTATTGCCATGGAACTGGCTCCATTGAGAGCTGCTGTAGTGTAATGGCTAGGAGTGTGTGCTGTGACCCAAGAAGTCATTGTAATAAATGATGGTATATTTAGAATCCCATTGAATGGC